AAGCAGGCCTGCCAGTCTGTGGGCACAGTGCCTCCTCTGTCCATCCATTCAGCTCTAACCACACCCAAGCAGGCCTGCCAGTCTATAGGCACAGTGCCTCCGTCCATCCACTCAGCGTACTCTCTGCCCTGTTAGCTGTGCAAACCAGCTGGTCCCAGGCCACAGCAGGCATGCCTGTGTGATAATTAAACTCCTCTGCTTGATGCAGTAACCACCAGAAGAGGGCAATCCAACTTTTTACAAGAACCATGACCACAGACTTGGAGGCAGTGATCCTCATCCCAGCTACCTCACAATCAGCTGCAAACCACCCTAGTGCATGCTGCAGGTCACCGGCCGATGACACCAACAGGACCATGTCATCTGCAACAAACAAATATGCGATTCTGAGGCCCCCGAACTGGACCTCCTCCATGCCTTGGCTATGCCTAGAAATTGGTGGTGGAGTCCAATACCAACCAGAAACGAGTTTGACTTACTGCTGGCAATGCAAACCAAGCTCTCGCTGGGTTTGTACAGGGATCTGATGGCCCGCAAAAATGGACCCCGTACCTCATACACCTGAAGCACACCCCCCCCCCAGGACCCCCCGAGGGACACAATCATATGCCTTTTCGAAGTCCACAAAAAAACACATGCATTGCATCGACGTTGGGGACAGTGCTTTTGGATTGGCAAATTGGGGTGGTGATCTCAGTCTTTAAGAAAGGGGACCAGTGGCAATAGCCCCAGAGATGGGCAAGTACTTCCTCTGCTTCCTCCAAGGATGGCATATCAGTGGGATACAGGAGATCCTTGAAATATTCTTTCACCACCTGACTATATCTCTGGTTGAGGTCAATAGTTCTCCATCTGTAAACAGCACGGGTAAAGACCTGCTTCCCCCTCCTGAGTTGCCTGCTAGTTTATCAGAACATTTTTGAGGCCGACCAAAAGTCCTTCTCCATAACCTCACCAAACTCCTCCCACACCCAAGTTTATACTTCAACAACCACCAAAACCTCTTTCCTCTTGGCCTGCCAAGTACCTGTCAGCTGCTTCAGGAGTCCCACAAGCTAACCAAACCCAGAAGGCCTCCTTCTTTAGCCTGACAGCTCCCTTTACAGCTGGTGTCCACCACCAGGTTTGGGGATTGCCATCATGACAAGTAACAAGAACCTTATGGCCACAGCTCTATTAGCTGTTTCAGCAATGCAATCCCAGAACATGGCCCATTCAGGCTCAATGTCCCCTGACTTCCTCAGGATGCACGAGAAGTTCTGTTGGAGGTATGAGTTAAAGATCTCCTGGACAGCAGCCTCCGCCAGATGCTCCCAGCATACCCTCACTATGGGTTTGGGTGTACCAGATCTATCCAGCAACTTTCTAACTCAGCTCCTGTCTTCACCCAAGTGTCCAAAATATGCAGACACAAAATAAATCATGAAACTGTTGTGTATGGTGGTCTGGTGCCAAGGGCACTTATGAACACCATTATGTTTGAACACGGTGCTCGTCATGGACAGCACAGAAGTCCAATAACTGATCACTGCTTGCATTCTGATTGGGCAGGGCATTCCTCCCAATCACACCCTTCCAGATTTCACTGTCATTACCGACGGAGGCGTTAAAGACCTTCAGCAAAACAATGCACAATAGTCAGAGCCTGTCCCCTGACTTGAAGTCAAAGGGAGGCGACCACAGGTCCTTTTCCACCAGAGAGGTTATGTTCCATGTGCCAAGAGCCAGTTTTGGTAGCTGTCGATTGGTCCACCGAGGTCCCTCCCTTGATTGCCACCTGATCTCTATTGCACCCGACCCTGGAGGTGGTGGGTAAACAGGAGGGCGAAGCTATCTTATACCCTTTGGGCTATGCCTGGCCACCAGGCACCCACCTTCGAGCTGCCGCCCCAGGCCTGGCTCCTGGATGAGGCCCCGGTCTCCCCAATCCAGGCAGGGTATCATGATCCTTATTTTTAGTCATAGGGATCTATGTGAACCGCACTGAGTCTGGCTGGTCACCTAGGACCGATTTGCCTTGGGAGACCGTACCAGGGGCAATTTCCCCCGACAACAAAACTCCTAGGATAATAGAGGCATTTATTGTATGTGAATTGATTCTTGCTCAGATTTAAAAGTAGAGAGGGCTACTTAACATACGTCACCAATGACTTCCTAAACAAGCAGAGCATTCATCTGCACATGGGCTGAAGAAAAGGAATTCAGTAACAACACTGTTTTAAGGTTACAATATAAATGTATTCCCCCAAAAGCTGCAAACCCATAACATGGACCCAAATGCCTATATTTTCCAGTACAGTGTATACTTATCTGTATAACATTTGTCACTCTAGCAGCATTTTGACAGCATAAAATTTAAAAGGCGGCATTTACTGACTGGCAGGGTACTGGAGACCCTGGCCGATACAGGGGGCCCAGCATGAAATAGGGGCCCTTGAACACAAAAAATAATGTAAATGCTTGGGATACATTTACAACCATTTGCCAAGCTCTACAGGACCCAGGGTGACATTGTGTCAGTTAGTCCAGAATTTCTAGGTATGCCCCTGCATTCATTATATTCTAAATTCTGTATCCATGCCTTTTACATACCTGTCCCAGTGACACAATGATCTGTCCCAGTGACACAATGATCTGTCCCACCCCCCCCACAGCAAAAAAGGTTATTTAGATTATTTATTAAATTTGGTCCTTCGGCGACATCTAGTGGCGATATATGAACTAATCTACTTTGTTTTATTTATTTCACGGTGTCTAACATTTTACTTATGTTAGAAGAAATGTGTTTCTTTTGTATAATTTATAGTTCACACCAAACACTTGTAAAGTGACTTCAGTGTTTCCTAAAAACCAGCACAATCAGTGATAGCAAATTTTCCATCTTTGGTAGAATAGCTTTAAAGCAGAGTTCTGGCAGGATTGCAGTTTCATCTCGACCTTCCAAATCCACACATCAAAACCCAGCCTCTTTCATCTTCATGTTCATTTCCAAGGCCTGAATCCACATCTAATGTGAACAACACAAACTATCAAAAAGACCATTTGATTTTAATCTGTGTAAATGGTAATCATTTGTTTTTTCTAACTTTTAGGGCTAACATCAGCCTCCAGTCTCAACTGCTGTCTCAATTGCTCAATTACAAGTAAACAAATAAAAGTCAATCAAAATCATGGTCTGAGTACCAAAATTACTTGTCTTTCTGTAGAAAGGTTGTTTGAACTCAAAGTTTGATGTTTTGATCTTTAAACAAAGAAGTTAACCAATTTACAAGGCGTTATAACTTCCATTCATCTAACCTTAACGCACATTCTGAGAGAGTAGGTATCTCCTGGCATCCCATTCAGGGTGCTCCTCTGTCCTGAGGGCTCCTCAACCCTAACCCCACACTCAGCCTGTTCTGCAAAGCACGGAGGACAAGGCCAGTCCATTGCAGAGCACTCGCATGCATGAGAAGCTGGGTGCCACAAGTGAATCTGAATACTAAACACTTGCATTAAGAGAAGAAATTGGAATAGAAGTACACAGCAATTTCATGACAAATCCATATAAAGCAGCAGGAAAAACAGAAATGGCCTAAAACAGGCTGAGTGGTATGATCCAAGCCAATTTATCATAAGCCCTGTGCCTGCAGACTCCCCAGCTAATTCAAACTACCTGGCCCAGATTGAACTAACTGACTATATGCACTATATGGTGTCAGCTGCAGTTAAAGTATGAAGACTTCATATCTGGCTGCCTTCTGGGCTTGAGTTGCAGTTGCTACAGTTTTTGTGGTGGGTTTTCGTCATCCAATTTCAATTTGCTTTCTTAATGGAGTATTGATACCATTTCCTTTAGTATCTTTTTATAGACATAGATTTTTTTTTTTGTATTTTACATATGGTTGTCCACTGCTTTTGTCCCACCCTTGATACCTGAAAAGTAAGAATGTTAATTACAGAGTTATATTTATTCTGAAAGAAATTTATGATTGGGAAATACTATTACAGAAGTATCAACTGTTCCATTGAATGTATGCTCCATTTTTTACATATTGTGCTAAGTTCTTAATAGATCCTCTATGGTGATATTTGTGTAACCTTTCTGACCTTTTCCTTTGTTCCTACACCTATCTTGCACATTAACTGAGCACTATGCCTAGCAGGACACACTAAATTTAGCTCCTTAGCAGTTGTTTGCTTGTCATGTATTATCTGCCTCACTTGTACATCACTTTAGACAAAAGCAACTGCTAAATAAACAAATGTGAAATATAAATTCACATTTTGGCATCTTTTCATATCTTATGATTCATAGAAAATCCTTTTACCACAAACTGGCTTGACAAGGCTCAATGCGGGCATCTGGTTATTATATACATTTCCTAATTTAAATACCTGTGCATAGACGCTTGGATATATTGGTAAACAATGAGTATTAATTTGTTTGGTAGATTTGTCTGCTTTTCCTACTACTGAAAGAACTATACTATTTTTAAAAGCAGTGTTTGTGTGATATGGCAGTTGAATGACTAGTAAGGTTAAAGTGAGTTCGTTTGTTCATTCTTGCACACATACTCCTGTAATTCTTAACAAGGTAATGAATGGCCATATCAATCACAAACAGCACAATGTTTAGTAGTCTATACATATAAACGACCACGTATAAACTAAAAGTTTTAGGGACAATACATATATAATTACCGATATTTTGAAATACTAACCCAGAATCATGTGGAATCTCGCCGTGGAATTCCATGTGGAATCTCGCCGGCCTTGACTCTTTAGCAAGTGCACTGGAATGTTGGTCGTCAACTTTAATCTTTTTTAAAAATGTAAAATAATTATCACCATGAGTGATAGTTCGTTTCACTTGTAGCATTGCCCGTCAACATTATTTTTTATAAAGGAAGATTCTTTTAAAAAAAATAAATAAAAAATCCCTTTATGTACTCAGGCAAACAGGGGACAGCTATATGGGGCCTTCCTCCATATAAAGTGCTACCTCTGCATTTGGTTTCTTTCAATTGTCGGTGAAACCGGCGGGGAGGATCGGAGGATAAATTGGAGGAGGCGCTTATAAAACAAACGCAATACAACTTTAAATTTATTAAATCCCACGCGAATACTGCTCTCCCTCGTGGATATAAAGATATCAAAGGTAAAACCTGTCGGCTAATAGAAATTACAAAAAAAATATATCAAAGTGAACTTAACCCGGCTAATAACTGTGAAAACTGTTTTCCCGTTTTTATAAAACAGATCCCTGCTTAGTTTTGCCTTTTCGGGTATTATCTAAATCCGTCGCCATCAGGAGTATAGTTGTGCCGAAAGGCTTTGTTCGTCTTCCGATTGCTTAGAAGAGGATGAAACTGCAGAGCAGCGAAACTCGAAGAAAAAGAGGATGGGGGTCATGGTGTTTTAATATTACGCGTTAGTGTATCTACAGAATGTACTAAAAACGACACACCGTGATTATCACTTGGGTTATCTGCCCGTGTGATCTCTGTTATGTCGTTGGAGGTCAGGTGATGTTGCTGTTGACACCGGTGTATCCTGAAATGTTGCCAGAGGCTTCAGAAATAATCCTTTTTATCTTCCAAGTAGCACTGAGTGTGGTAATAACTACGCTTTCTGTTTTGTCCTGTATTCAAATTGCAATACGTTTCTGCTAAAGGAAGTCTTTGTTGTGCTCTGCTCCATACCGACCGCTGCTGGTACCATTCTGCACTGAGGAATAGCGAAACATCCAGCTGTCAGTCCGTCAGGGCCTGCTGCTGTGAGAGGGCTGATCGGCCTGGGACGAGTTCATCCAAACGCCTATACACCCGCAATTAACGCTATTATCAGTGCACATAGGCCATCTGTATAGATTAAAGTGTTTATATACACAAAATATTTTGACATGCTAATAACTTTGCATCGGTGCTGACTCTATCGCATATGAAGACAGTTCATTCCAAAGATCATGGAATAAGTTAGTATACTGACATAAGGTATTGATGTATACGAACAGAATGTCTAATTGTCTCACACTGGCCTGTTCATAGATGCCCGCAGCGACGATTGGCAACAGTACTGTTCAGTCCTCTAGTCCAGAAGTTGGTTCTGGACCTGGATCTGTTTTCTCCATGAGTGGGCAGTCATCTGGGGCACATACCGAGGCCATGAAGCAAGTGCTTTGCGTCATCGACAAAAAAGTCCGTAACATGGAGAAGAAAAAGGTACAACGGCTCTGTTCGGTCGTTACTGATTTAATTAAAAGAAGTTCAATGTAGTTTTTCTACGCGTTAAAACAGGGCTCTCCGTTTACGTAGAGGTAAATGTGCCTTATTTGTACAACACAAAGCCTTATAACTTAATTCCTGTTAAGTTTGACCAAGGTGTTGCCTTAATCATCCTGTCTTTAGAGATATATTTTTGACTACCCGCAAACAAGCAGAAACGTTCCTTGGCGTTAAGATGGAAACTGTGAAATTGTGAATGTCCTATTATTGGGACTAAAACATTAATTCATCCAAACTTTTGAATTTAGGTTCTTGATTGGTCCAGTATTAGAGATGTCTAGTTTTACTTTGTGTAAACTTTCTGTAGTACTTATTGGGGATGCAGATAAAGAAATACGGGGAGGGGGGGGTGGTAATTTTGAAGATTTTGACCGAAGAAATACGATCTCTAAATGTAAATTACTCCAACAACTCGGTATTCATTATAAACGCGATTAAACAGTCGTATATACGGCGTATTAAAATAACCAGTATGCAATTATGTGGTTTTTCTGAAGTGATTCTTTTTCCTATTCACTCTGTGCGGCGCACATGGACTGAAACAACATGGCTGCGGTGCCGTGTTCAGCGCACGCCTTTCAAAAAATACCGGCTAACTACAATGTCCCCACAGTCTTGTCTGACCGGTTCACTTAGGTCACATAACTCTGTACGCGTGAGAAACGCACAGTCATTCACAAAAAATATTTTTGTAAACCTGTCCCAATGGAAGAGTATCCGAAGTTGTTGATTTGGGACCACATCGCGTCTCCTACCACTTGCTAGGAGTCATTCCACAGGTGTGTGTTGCTGCCCGGAAGATTTAGCATGCTGCAGCCAATTCCGTCTACTCCTATGCTCCATTTGTATAATACGTTTTTGCTGCCGCAAGTACAAATTTAAAGTTTCTGAGTGTGTTTAAAATGAGCGTTATTAGTTGTCTATGCGCTCGACGAAATTTGTCTATATATATATATATATATATATATATATATATATATATATATATATATATATATATATATATATATATATATATAATAAATAAAATTAATAAAATTATTTTTGCTAAAAATGTTGAAGGCAGATTTCTAAACTAATTGCTTAAGTTTAATCTCTAGACGGATATAAATTCATGAACTGTTTAATAACATCACCTTTAATATTTGGCCCATTGCCTTTGACACTGATTGGTATTTGCTGCTTGGTACTTGATGCTATGAATATTCAGCATTTACCACTGAAGATGTTGGATCAGCAAGTTTTTTTTTTTTTCCCCATGACTGAGTTGGGGCAGTTTTCCCTGCATTTTCTCTATGAAGTTCATGTGGAAAAACATTGAATAATTAGTGTAGATAGCTTAAAATTCATTTTTGGTATATGGGTAAAGAGTGCCACAGATTGTGACACATATTTGTATATATGAAACGGGACAATTTAAATTTAACAGCACAGTTGGTTTCATATTTAGGTAGTATTAAGATCTAATCTGATGCATGTCAAAGCTTACACTAAGTCATGTGTGTCAAACTCCAGTCCTGGGGGGCCACAGCCCTGTGTAGCTTAGTTCTTTCCCTGTTCCACCACAAATGATTCAGCTCAACAGTTATATGGTAATTAGCACAAGAAGTTGAATCAGGTGTGTTAAACAAGTGGAAACCCAGAAATGTGCAAGGCTCCGGCCCCCCAGAACTGGAGTCTGACACCAGTGCACTAAGTGGTCTGACTTGGGTACAGGAGATGAAGTATGGTTGTGTCGTGGATAGTTTTCTAATGTGCTGTCACACTGTTTGGACAGAGCAAGCTTGATGACTACCAGGCAAAGAAGAACAGGGGGGAGCGTCTCAACCAGGACCAATTGGTGAGTTAAAAAATCAAGAATGCTTGTTCTTGTAGTGCTTTTATTTTTATCTGTTCAGAGCAGTATGTTTTAATGGTCTGCTCAAAGGTTTGTCTGTTCTCTTAAAGGATGCCTTGTCCAAGTTCCAGGAGGTGGCGAATAACGTAGACTTTGCCCGGGAGTTACAGAAAAGCCTTTTGGCTCTGGGTCAAGATGTAAGTTTTCACTTTTTATACTTTGTTTTGTATGAGTCGCCTTAATTTTGTTCCGACATGAGTAAATAAAAAGCATATTGCTGTTCCAAAGAAGTGTGCAATCATCTGTATGTGTACAGAATGCTATCTATACGTGTGAGAGAAAGCAGGAGACGGTTCTAACTATTTAGGCTTTTATTTAGCTCTTAATAGCCTCTGTATATATGTATAATGCATTACTTTATAGATAAAATGAAACATTTTATCAGTCTTTCAAATTGACAAGTCTACTATTTTTAATGTCCTCTTTAGAAACTGTTGGTCTATTAGAAATATTTGGGAAATTTTAAAAGGCAGTGTTTTATAACTGTAAATGCAAATCAATCCCTTTAACAAAGTAAAACAAATACTGCAAATTCTGATATTTTTAACCTGTGAACCGTTCAGCAATGTTTTAAAATGAAATTAAACGAATATCACACAATAAAAGGTTTATTGATATAAAAAGTAGTCATCCTATATCTCTTTTTGAAAATATATTGATATACTGTGAAAATGTGTATACTGCTCAACCCTAGTCGACTATAAAAGCTGTTGATGGGAGGGTGGCAAAGCCATGGGTATGCAGACCCATATCCGAGCCCCCAGCAGAGATTGGCTGATTTGTAATTGGATGAACCCCTTTTATTAAATAAAATTGGCCTCTGCCAGATATCATAGCAGCGTCACATAGTAGCATGTAGTTTAGTTATATGTTGCACAAAGTTGTGTACATGCCTAGTTTGAACAACAGTGCTGTTGGTATCAGTGTCCCTCAGTTTTTATGGCATTCTGTGAATTTTTGGGGCATTTTTTCTACTTTGCCCTCTTTAGTTTCCGAGTCTGCTTCTGAAGAACAGTGATTTGTTAGTTGGCCTCTACTTTGAGGTCTTCTGTTAGTTTGGAGGTTTTTGTAGGGTCCTGATTGTTTTAGCAATTGTACGTGTTATTGCGGAGAGTCCCTAAAGCGTTCCCTTGTAGATGCAGAAGGCGATTAAAAAAACTGCAAGACGAGAGCAACTGCTGCGGGAAGAAGCGGAGCAGAAACGACTGAAATCTGTACTAGAGCTGCAGTTCCTTCTGGAGAGTCTGGGGGATGAGACTGTGCGGCAGGACCTGAAGCAGGGCACCGACGGCCTGGCCCTGCTCACGGATGAGGATCTAACGGACCTTGACAACCTCTACAAGCTGGTGCAGGTGGAGCGTGACCCGAACAGTAGGTGAGCAGACTATCTCCGCCAGCATTGGGCATTCGGTGCTGCTCTGTCAATAGCGCAGGGCTGATGGTGTTGTGGGTTAGAAATGGGACATGGGGCAAGTTGGCCATCATCCCAGGAAGGAAGAATTTGCTGTGGCTTTCAAGGTAGCTAATGCAGAGAACATGTGAATGGACAGTGTGTGATGGTAAATGTGAGATGTTACAATCACTGAGATTGTGGACAGTAGAATAATGAAAGGAGTTACATTATGATGGTTTTTAAATGCATCTGAAATGCCCGACAGGCTCACTGACCAGTTTGAGGAGGCGTCAGTGCACCTCTGGGAGCTACTCGAGGGGCGGGACAAGGAAGTAGCAGGAACCACATGTGAGTATTAAAATATCACGATATAATATAAAGCTTTCCCGCAAAATGGTATATCTTCTATAGCTTCTAAAAATGGGGGCATACTTGTCTTTGCCTTTAAGTCTGAAATGGAGTTAGGGAACTTTTATATTTTTGTCTGTGCTAACTTGGATAGTTGTGCATCCAGCTGTTGTTTTCACTGCAGGGCTTGTGTATTTCCACCTGCCTTCCTGTCGCGTTAGTCCATTCAACTGGAATTCTGTCTGCAACTTGGCCCGATAAGCACTTTCCTGGGCTCCATCTCCAGGGTTTTGTTGTAAAAGTAACTCGGCAGGTGTGATGGTTCTGGTAACGCTGTAAAAGTTGCAGTTTGTCTGATTCGGTTTTGTCCCAGAAAATGTGGCATTTGTTCACATTCTTTGGCTTTTACTTTTGCTCCTATGCCACTTGGTGGACATGGTGGTTTTGGTTTGTTCTGGATCCTTCCTTTTTGTGGTTATATGGATACAAGTTTGTGAAGCACATACGTCTTTGACTTTAATCATGCATCTCCATGCATTTTTTTTTTTGTGAAGTGACTTATTGTAAGACGAGATGGAAAAACATGGGTGCCTATTGCTGTATGGTTGCCCTTGTGTACTTGACCAGTCAGATTGCAGTTTTGTATTGCTGGTCACTGAGTATGAGCCCCTTGATCAGTGGCTATCAACGCAGTGTGGTCACAAGCTACGGGAGCACTGCAGAGCCCCTTGGAAGTGGCACTGAGACATCCATGGGCTCACTGCATTCCTGACTACAACTTCAGTATGTAATTATTCTCCAGAAAGGACATGAAGGATGTGGACTTCATTGATGGTTTGGTCCATGCAGAGGGATCTGAAGCAAGGTTCTAGGGAACTGCAGTATAAGAAGCTTTAGAAAAGTGTTAGGAAGGTCTCTGGCTGGCTAAGGTTCACTCCAAAGGCACAGGGGACCTTAGGGGACCTCCCTATAAGGGGTTTGCCTCGACCCTCCCCTGTCAGCCTCTTCCCCTATCTATTACTTGGCAATAGTGGGGTTGGGGGGGGGGTAATGGTGTCTCCTCATTTCTCCAGTTTGAAACCCTAATTGTTGGTGTCCGTGACTGTAAGTTTTCTTTGCTGATGAGCTGTCAGTTTCTTAACCTATAAACACAATGTGTCAGTAGTCTGTTTTTAAATACCGTATGACTGGTATTCTCTGACGTGATATCCTGATGTCTGCTCTCCAGCAGTGTTCCAATAGACCATTTATTGAGGTTTCTCTTGGTTGTTAATGTTCTGATACTTTTTTGGTATTTACTCATTCGATGTTTATCTGCTGATTCCCAGTCCTGCTTCGATCTTTTAATAAATATTTGAATGTACATACACATGCAGTAGTCGTCAGTGCACTCTTTGAGCAAAGCTTGTGATTTTGCAGTGTTCTTCCTGATAATTCTGCATGTGCCTCATGTAGCTCTTAAGCAACTTTGATTTTTATTTTTTATTTTTTTAATTGATCGGGCTGGTACCAGTAACTATGTAATAACTAATTAAAATATTAATTCAATAACAAAAAACCTATTTCAAAATAGATTTATTTATTTATTTTTTTTACTAAAGCTAGCTCATAATGTCATGAACATTTCCAGAAAATTTGCACATGTAATTTTCATGGAACTGTGAATTTGCGAATGCACGGGGGCTGACTATCTCAGCAACAACTCAACCAAAGACCAAATGTTCAATTTTGATTAATTTTTTGATTGATTTGAATTTTAAAAATTTTAATGTTATTGCATAGTAATTATTCATATGGGGATGGCATATTATTGGTTCAATCTATAGAGCTGGACAATAGCTTTAAAACAATGAGGACCATTTCTGTGCAGCTTACATTAAGGTAAATATTGCCAGTCAATCATAGTTCCCCCACCCACCCCCAATAAAGTTAAACTCTGTTCGCTTAAATCTCCCTCAATATTGATCCCAGACACGCCCAGTTTGTTTCATGAGTTACTCATGTGACCAAATCAGCATGCAAAGTTTTGTTAAAATCCATGACGATGAGGTCCGAAGGTGTGATGATTTGACATGGAATGACCCATCAAACTTCTCTGCACACGTACTAGCAGATGTGTCCCATTTGAACATTTATGACGCGTTTGACATCATTGTCCGCCTCCATGGACAAACACCTGTTGCACGCCAAATTTGTGTTTGCGCAGCTCTGGACACAATGTGCACGATCAATTCACTAGTGTGTACTTTAGAGGTCTGCATGGGACTGATTTTTCATCCCGCTCCCGCAGAAATGTGTAATATTTTGACCCGCTCCCGCCTGCTGAATCCCGCAAGCAAGGCTGCTGGAGTGTAGGGTGGGCCAAAAACTTTAAATGCTATAATATCTTGGCTTATAAAAATTTAATTAGGTACCAAATTTATTTGTTGCCTAACTGACATACAGGAATTTATGAAACATAGGCTATATTATGTGGGCACGACTCCGGCTGCGAATTAAAGATGTCTTTTATATAAGGTTAGATTTGGCTAACCAGTTTTCCACAAAAAAAATACAACCAACAATGTTTCTAACTAGGCAACAGACCTGAATTAAAAATATCTAAACAGTCTCAATAGAAACATTTGAGTCAAAATGAGACAAATATGGGGAAACATTGCAATTTCTGGCGCGGCTGTGCGTTTATTCCAACCTCAGTCAGTGCGTTCATTGCACTTCCATTCTGCCGGCGTCCCAGAGAGGTCTGCGTGGGACTGATTTTTCATCCCGCTCCCGCAAGTTTCTGTTCCACTCCTGCAAGAAACACTCAAATGTAGACCCGTGCCGCATGCTTTTGCGCCACGACCCGCGGGTCCCGTGGGCGGGATGCCCCGTCGCAGACCTCTACTTTAAATACCAATATTGATGCTTTAGATGAGCGTTGGGGTAAGTTGCAAACCCTACGAACTATTTACAAGGCAATAAAACTTAAATGCATGTAAATGTGTGTGTATGTGACTGCGGACTTGTCTGGAATCGAAAATTTCACACCAGCCAGCTGACCAAAGTTGACAATCTTGTGATCTGGCTCGCTGATTTCCCGCAAAAACGCGCACACAAACCTCACTGCTGTGTTATGCATGCAGGGAATAACAGAATAATTTGTTAAAAATATAAATACCATATGTGGAGGACTATGAAGGTTTCTGTGGTTACATGGGTGTGGTGCTTGTGCGGAGAAGTATGAACCAGCCATTAAACCGATATCCTGGGTTCGATTCGCTGTTTGGGCATGCTGGGGCGAAGAATGTGACGGCAGGCCAATGAGAATTTTGATGACTTCTTGAATGTCTAAAACAATCCAGCCAGGACATGCTGGTTGCTTGCTTCCGATTACATCACTAATAGGCCCCGGTTTGCTCATGTCGTATCTGTATATTTAATGTCGTACTGAGCCACATGGAAGTGTCCCGGGGGACAGTGCAGTCACCATTCCGGTTTACATTTTCCGCGTTACGGTTCTGGTGTAACTGGCTCGTTCAGTTCTAATTTGTGATGCATCAATGGAGGGAGAGATGATTACAGAATTGTCTGGGTGTTTTATGAATCACGTGGAGCTCAATGTCAAAGGCGAAGGATCCGTTTGTGGACTTCAGGCAGAGCCAGGAGCTGCTGGATGCTCTGAGTGTAGAAATTCTACAGTTTCCTGTCTAGCTGGATGAGAGGCTGTGAACGCATCACATTTGAATGCCATACCATATTAGTACAAAGCTATTTATCTAAATGTTCTTCCATTTGACATTGTGCATTCTCTGAATCGCTCTCTGGCTGTGGTTTGAACTTTTTTGATAGTCCTATCCCACAACTGAAAATTTGAAACATGAGCTTTAACTATCATTCTTCATGCTTTGACACACAAACCAAATCTTCAGAACAGTCCTGGTCCCACCCAGGTTGGCTTTGATCTTTGCCATGTTGCCTCTTTTGCTTAACTAAAGATGTTAAAACATCAGAAATGGTATGACACATGGTGAAAACACTACCATGTGCTCTTTGTAGAGGTGAATGCTGATTGTAAAGGGTTAGTGCATCTGTGGTTCAGCTCTTGCTATGCCTCCATATTGTAATTCTCAAATGTATCTTGCCTCCAGACAAAGCACTGAAAGAAACCTTGGACAGGGTTATGTTGAGTGGATACTTTGACAGAGCCCATGCCCACCACAATGGGGTATGTGAGGAGCTGCAGCACGAGGAGCCGCCGGCGGCGGTGGTGGTGGCTAAGGTCGAGGCGGAGGTGCCGCCTGCAGAGCCAGGTAACGTGGGCCTGGGGTTGCGTCCTGCCCACGTGTGGCAGTTGAGGGGAATGCCTGGCCTGACTAGCATTTCCTGTACTCTTCAACAGAAGGGGAGTTCACTGAGGAGGTCACAGAATCGAATGAAGTAGAAGGCCGGGAGGTGAGTGCCGTGTTCCACCAGAGCAAAGGGAAATTCGGCTCATTAGGGAGCATATAGTCACTTGGTTGTCGCTAATGCTAATACTAGGGTTCCGTCTTTACAGTTTGTAAACCGGCAGTTCATTCCAGAAAGTGCTTACAGCAGCAGAGACAAAGAACATGGAGAAGAATGGAATGCAGAATCAGAGGTTTGTGCTCCTCTTGGCTAATAGATTTCAGAGCTGTGCATCCATTATGTATAATACGGGTTCATAGAGACCTGTAGCCTTGGTTTTAATTTGATTCAGGACGCTAAACCCTGAGTTTTGGGTTAAATGACCTGAGGCCTTTGGCTGTTCTTTTTATTTTATAGTAAGGATATTATGGTAGTGCTTCTGGTATATCAGTCACCATTTCCTAAGGCGGTACCTTCAGGGCTTGATGTCTGGGCCGTGCAGGGTACTGTCCCCCCGGTTCAGAGTGACTCCTTGCTGCAGGTCAGTACTGTCCAACAGCAGCAGCTGCCTGTGCAGGGAGGTCTCCCCACCGCTGTTTCCGAAGCCCACACACCAAACCCCGTCACGTCGGCACCCCCTGCAGACCCTGTGGTTCGAAAGCAGGCAGTACAGGACCTCATGGCACAGATGCAGGGCCCCTACAACTTCATGCAGGTGAGGATCTTCCCAGCAAATGCCACACTTGTTCTCCTGTGGCCATTTTGAACATGTGGTCCTACCATCTGCGGTGCAGGACTCCATGCTGGAGTTTGATGGCCAGGCCCTAGACCCTGCCATTGTGTCTGCCCAGCCCATGAAGTCCACGCAGAACATGGACCTCCCACACTTGGTGTGCCCTCCAGGTAGCAGAAGAACTTCATCCCAAATGTATGAAAAGCAAATCTATTTTTCAGATGCTTTTGTAGAAAGTCTGTTTATCGCTCCTCCCTCCCAGTTCATGCAGAATCCCGACTGATCCAACCCAGCACAAGTCCCGTACTGCAAGAACCCCCCCAGGTAAGTTGGGGGGCCTGTATTTGACATCTGACATCTTCTGTCTGCTCAACAACCAAGTCCTTTAACATGAAATTGGGGCCTCGCCCTCCCCAGGTCCCTCTGGTCTCTTCCACGTCTGAAGCTTATTCCTCAGTACAACCTCTGTATCAGTCCCCCCACACGACGGACCCCCCACCACAGACTGATGCCAGCAGCCCCATTCAGGTAGTCTGCTTGGGGGTCTGCTGTGTGCAGTAGATGTGGAGCTGGGAATGCTATGTGTTGTTAAAGGCCTCAGTACCCCAATCTTTCTCTGCAGCAGGTGTTCCAGCCTGTATCAAAGCCTCTCCATAGCAGCGGGATCAATGTGAACGCAGCCCCATTCCAGTCCATGCAGACGGTAAGCTTCCCCTTCATCAGTCGCTTTGGCTTAATATAAACACATGGTCAGTGTTTTCAGATCCTCAAATTCTCCAGCTATATATCTGACGCCATCTTGGTTCTTGGACCGCCGCATGATGTGAGCTAGTCTCTGCAGGTTTTGGATGAGGTGGGTGGCTGCAGAGTCACTTTGCTGAGTGTAGCGTCATTCCTTGCATTCCAGGTGTTCAACTTGAATGCCCCAGTGCCGCCGGGTACCGAGGCCGATACCCTGAAGCAGCCCGGACAGTACCCGAGCGCCTACAGCCCCGGGTTCGGTAGCCAAGCGCCGCACCCAGCCGAGCAGGCTGAGCTGCAGCCGGAGCAGCTGCAGTCTGGTAAGGGACAGGCTCGGCGTCGGAGTCCTCATGGCGTGTTCAGCAAGGGGCCCAGCTCTGCTCCCCAGTTACAGAGCCAGCCCTAGATAGCTGGGTGATCCAAGTTTGCCGGCACTTTGGAAGCCTGTTCCCAGCTGACTGTCGCTATAACAGCAGATATGCTGTGTTTTAGACAAATCGGAACTCAAATGTCCTACCTCCTGGGGAACAGCTGTCAGTCAGAGCTCTGGCTAGGAAACTCGGGGCAATGTCACCTTCTCCGGCTTCACTGAGAAGCAGCCACTGTGAGGTATGATAATATGGCAGCTTCCACAGGAGCAATTGCCGTAAATGATAAATAAGCAAGTGAAGGCTACATGGTCCCCCCCCCCCCCGCCTTACATTTACAATAAAAACCTGTAAGTACAATGAAACAAATTTTTGTGTGTGGATTCTCAAAATGGATTGCAGGTATTGCTGTTTGGCTAATTGGTAGCTAGGCTATAGCCCATAGCTTACAGAAATAAAGCTGCTCTGCGTGTTCCATAGGCTACATCTGGAGGTGTGCGCAGTATTTCACCAATCAGCCATTCATGCTTACACTATTGTGCACTATTCTTGGTTTACAATTCAGAAACGTATAAAACTATTCATATTTGATACAACAATTTTATAATGTTTTATAGCAGTCATGTTGATTTCTTTACATTAGGCAATCATGGCTCATGGAGTGACTAGGTTTTTATATATATAAAATTATTTATTTTTTAAAATTAACTCTGCTGTCAGACTTGGCTGGAACACAGCATGTTTTGTTCAGGATAAACGGAAGAAGCATTTCTTTTGAAGTGTCTTGTTTTTGATAGAGAATCATTTGTATGATTGAAATAAGCAGCACTGCCTCCAGGCTAATGGGTGGTCAGCCAGAGAAATTGTAACGGTTTGTCAATAAAAGTGTAGAACAAACACTTCACTTGCCCAAAAAAAAAAGCCAATTCATCTCATTCATCTTGTGCATTAAAACATTCCTGTGCAGCTTTTTTGAACCATCCATTTAATTCACCTCTTCAAACTTTCCTCCATGTGAAAACCTTTAGAAAATTATAGTTTATTTCAGTTTGGCATGTTTAGCTTATGGGCATTGGTGCATTGAGGAGTTGGATATACATGCATGTATAAATTGATAAATGCAGTAATGTTCTTTCAGTTCCTCAACAGTGTAAAACTAGTACCAGATTAAATTTCATGTATCTGCTGTAAGAACTGATCATCAATAGAATCAGATCAGTACTGGATTCCAAATGGAGCCGCTATGGCTGGGTCTGATCATGACCTCACTGTTGCCCTGTCCAGTCATTGGTGCCTTCCACACACAAGAGCAAACCATTCCCGCCCCAGGAGGCCACCAGTCCATGTCCCAGCAGGCCCCACAGCAGAGTGCGGCTTTCAGCCGGCCGGGACAGTCCTTCTACAACAGCAGGCCCATGTCGCGCGGTGGGCCCAGGAACTCCCGAGGCATGCTGAACGGATTCAGGGCGCCCTCCAGTGGCTTCAGAGGTGCAGTATAGTTAACTTCTTCCTGATGCCATTTGGAGAAGACTATTTCGATACTGTCTGGCCGATGAGTCTTATCTGTATTCATAAAAGCCTGTGTCCAGTATGCTGGTCTTAGAATGTAGGTGAGGTTCTAGGCAAGGTTAAGCTTTTTGTAGATTGTTTCTGGAGTGCTGCTATCTTGGGGGGTCTGGTGCTTCATTATGCTCTCACCCAGGCCTCAGGAATGCCTAATGGCAGCTTGTTTTGAGCAGGTCTTGGGTCCAAGTTAACATGTGCAGACGTCACTACATTTAAAATTGAGGCAAATTCCTTGTCTACTGAATATCACATAAGGACTTTGTCCATTTGTGTGTTCACTTCAAACACAACCCGAACCCCATTAATCCATTTGTCTGTTGGTACCGCACACTCTTATGTGAGCCCTTGATCATTTCCCCCAGTCATTTTCCCCCACTGAAATACTTTTTGGTAGAATGCAAATGTAAATCATTTCTGAAATGAATGTTGCCTTTTTCTTTAGGTGGTAGTATTTTGTATGTGAATGATGGGGGTAAAATGATTGGCTTGACATTTGGAGGATATCCCATCTGTTCAAAGGAGCAGGCGTTTAGTTAGGCAGGACAGATGCTGCGCAAATGGTCTTGCTTAAAAATATGCACTCAAGATGTAACTGACGAATGATCTTTATTTAAAGATTGTCCCCAATGCTGCTGCTTTTTTTTCTCTACCCAGTTATTGACTAGTAAACAATGGACAAGTACATTTCACACTGGGAATGAGAATATATTTTTGTTTCTAGTTGGGTAAAATTACAGCTGAATTAGTCAGAAAATACTTGAATGTAATTCTGACAGTTGCAGGGTACATAGTCTGGTCCTGCTTGTTAATTTATAGGCTTTTTTTTTTTTTTTTTCTGCAGTCATTCCTCCGATATTCTTTTGATCCCCTATGTCATTTTTTCAGGTGGCTATGACGGTTTTCGCCCTCCTTTCGGCAACCCTCCCAGCAGTGCTTATGGACAAGCCCAATTCAACCCCCCCCGCGACTACAGCAACAACAGCTACCAGCGGGTGAAGTGAACACCTTGTATAGAAACTGTACTCTTTACTGTCATCAGGGGTGGCACTAGTGATATTGGGCCACCAGCCCCGACCAATCCAATTATGTTCCATTCTTTGGGGGTCTCTGGAATCATCCTGACCCCCTCCTCCCCCTGAAATGGCATCCCTTGCTATAATTTCCAGCAGTATTGATCTAAACACCATACTCTGCCCTGCCAGTTAATCTTCTCATGATGAATCCTCTTCGGATAATTTCAAAGATCCTGCTGATCCAGTCACTCTTTTGGCCTCTTTGTTCTTTAGAATTAGTGATTCTGCTTCTACGACCATTTAAGGACTTTACCTGCTGACTTGCAGAAAGTGACTGTGCCCTTTTTCCTCAGGACGGGTACCAGCCGAATTACAAGCGTGGAGCTGGCCAGGGCTCTCGAGGTACTTCTCGAGGGAATGCTCAAGTCATGAGGTCCTGAAGTTTTGGACTGTCCTCAAAGGCCACAGTGAACATTCAAAGTGCATCTGCCCAAGCCCACCTCCTTTCTTTGCCCCCCCAGTGGTATTCCCAGCCATTCTCGATCTGAGTGAGCCCGCTTTTATGTATTTAGAAAAACGGTAGATGTCAAAATACATGTAAAGCTGCAATCCTTGGCAAACCTGTTTGGACACAATCCTGTAAACTTGAAAGATTCATTAATTTATTTTTTGTAAAAAAAATAAAACCTAAAAATTCCCCCTCACTGCTGGTCTACTTCCTGAGAGTGCTTTTCTGACTGGCCGCTCTTTCATTTAGGATTCAACTTTTTTTTTTTTTTTTTTTTTTAAACATTTTAAGCTCCCACATCCCACATTTGTAAATTGATGTTGCCTCTTCAAAGTTTCAATAAAGATGTGTTGCATTACTGGCTGGTTCCTAATTCTGTGGGTTTCTGTTAGAGCCATAGGATTAGGCAGGTTCTGATATGCAAGAAAATTGTTTGGATGGAATCCTTTATCCACTTCTTCCAATTAACTGGTTTTGTGCCAGCGATCTTTGACTGTTTATGCCTTGTTAAAGTTAGATTCCCATTGGTGCAATAAAGTGGATCTTTTTTCTAGTAGTTTTAATACACTGACCATCAGGTTTTTCAGAAGTTTGCAAGTTCCAAAGGATCTATTAGCTTGTGGGAGTTTTAAACACATTGAGGGCAAAATGAAAAATGACTGGTCTAAACCAGATTGTAGAACCTCACCTCCTACAAAATGACTGGTTATCTTTCTGAACCAATCACTTTTCATTCAGAACATGTTTAAGTACAACTCCCATGAGCCATTTATTTTGGAAGCCAGATTCTGCCACAAAAAAACAGCTGATACTAAATCGAAATTGAGATCCTGTGTTGAAATTAGAACTTCATATACACAGCTCATAATATGGTAGCCTCATATTTAGTTTTCCAGCTGTAATATCTTTAACAAAAGCCAGCTGGTTTTAAATCCGATTGTTGGTGTCCAGTACATAGGCAGCCGTGCACATCAAACATTCTTGCAGTTTAAGCCCTTTCAGTATCTGTGCATAATCTTGTTGGCAGCTATAAAAATATTCATTTGTATTGAGAGGCTATTTTGTCTAGCATTCTTAGTTGATGGCAATATTTGCATGTGTTTTCATTCATAGTACAAATTGTAGAATAAATGGTCTATACATCAAGTGGACTGTGCACACCCCTTGATTCCCATTGTTATTCAGTTTTCCAGCTCTAATATCTTAACAGAAGCAAGCCAGGGCAGATTCAACCACAGATTGTCGATGTCCAATACACAGGCAGCCCTGCACACTGATCATTCTTGTGGTTTCGAACCCTGTGTTTCCAAAAGCAATCTGTATTTTCAAGCCATGCCTTTAACGTCTTATGTTCTGATTGCTTCGGAGAGAGAGAAAAAAAAATCGCATAACACCCTGGTCGATAAGTTTTAGCACCGTCAACCCTCCAAGCCCACTTTACAAGCTTCACCAGTCCGTGACATTCTTGCAAAACATGCCGGTCCCTGGCCATTCACAGGTGGAACCCCTAACTAATAGCAAATAAAGCCAATGAACAATAGAACACAATAGAATAGAAACAATGAAGGTTTCCCCATACAGATGAGGTATTCCATTGCATAGGTACTCATAGTGCTGTGCATCTGTCTTTTTATTCGATATCCGATATTGTGAAAACTGACTACATGGCAGTACAGAATAAATACCCAGTGCTGCAGTGTAAGCTTGGATTTGAGCTGCTCACACATCTTAGCCTCCCAAAGTGGCTCAATGATTTGCTGTAGAGAACAAGGTTGCCTGCTAATGGCGGAAGTCTGCTTTGTTAATATCCTGCGGGGACATGCTGGTTTTGCCCCAGTGGTCCTTCAGGAGGGTTTTCCCCAACTGGGAAAAGGTGGGAAGAAACTGTTATCTGTTCATTCTACACTAGGTTATAACAGTAAAACATTTACAATATCCATTCCAGTAAGGAAAGCAGGGAAAGTCCTTTCCCAAATGGTAGTGTTTATAAAATTAGAAATATACTGGGTTACCTTTAAATGCTGTGAAGGGCTCTGCTTTTTGGGTTTTTAACTTTTCCATGTGCTCCACCGCCTGGTAAATAAAGAAGCTGTAAAGCCCAATGACAGGAGATGCAGAGTATCCCGCTTAGGTATGAGCCTCATTTACCTGCTGAAGCTCCACTTTTCGCGCGTTCAGTTGCACCTGCTGTCTCTCCAGCTCATTCCTCTGCATTTGAAGTTCAGCTGCTTTCCGGTTGAGGTCATTTTCCTCCCGAGCTAAGCGCTCCTCGAATTCCCTCATCTCGTCCTCAGTGTACGGCTGGTTTTGTTCCAGGGTCTGACCACAGACATTAGACCAACACTAAGGCAACACCGCCACAATCTTATTACCAACCTATAATGTATCACAACCAAGTTAAGTTACTTGCCTCACCATCAATCAAAGCACAGTGCTGTCTCTCCAGTGTGTGAATTAGAACAGTAATAGAAGATCTGCAACATAATATTGTACCTCCCAACTGTCTGGCTCCAGGAACTCCCTCTTTTTTGTAGCTACCAGGAACTCCTGTAAGGAGACGAGTCGATCCCTGTTGGTGTCAACCTGGGGGGGCATCAATAAATGCAACTTACTGAAAATATACAAATTCGTGAAAAAGCTCAATAAGAACTGGAGATTAGTGTTCGGTGTCTGTATGGAAGCCTGTTTCCACCAGATAAAAAAGTTTGCTTAATTGCAACTGTTTTTCAGAACCAACTATTTCTCACAACTGTGGCCTTAATCAAGAAATTGGAACTATTTCTTCCTATACTGAATATTTCCTGCAATTCCAACTTTACTTCTCACAACTGCAGCTTTATTTCTCAGAATTCTTACTTTATTTCTCATAATTCCAAGCTTTTCCTAACAACCACCAAGCTGCCAGAGCCATCACTTCATATCTAAAGTTAATGCTTAGTGCATCGCATGACCCTAACAATCATGACAATACACAACTAACTACAGTCAGTAAAATAACAAACGTGACTTTCAGATATTAGGCTACTAGAAGTCCTAGGCAAACACTGGTGTCAGAAGAACAACTGAATAACTCAAACCAAGGCACACACCAACATGAATTCCAAACTAATTTTCCAGTATATTACGCTTGTGTTTGGGATACATTCCTAAATAAGATTCTCCGGAGGAGGAGACGCTGTCTGAATTGCAATTAGAATAAAAGTCAGAACTGTGAGAAAAAGAAGGAATTCCAAGACATGAAGCCAAAACTGCAAGAAAAAAAAAAAGTTGAAATTCTGATGAGTAAAGTTGCAATTAAGCAAAATTTTTTTATGTGGCAGAAATGGTCTTCCATAGTGCTCAAGCATTTCCCAGTCATTCAGACGAACACCACCTCATTCATGACATGTTCCCTCATTCGCAGTCTCTCTTCCTCCATCTCAACCATGTCATCTTCTTCATTGGTAGGGTCGTAGATCTTTTCAAGCTAATAAAATCATAAACATGCAAGTTATTTTATTTCCAAACACCCTTGAGTTTCAAACCTTCATCTTATGGAAGAATAAAACAGGCACCTCTTTTGTGAACAGTGATTCCAGTTCTTGTTCATCAAGAAATCCATCTCCATTAGTGTCTGTAAGACAAAACAAACGCTTCATGTAAGTTTTTGTTCTGGGTGTCTTACACATAGATTAACCTATAAGTGGATGTAAGAAAATGTCAGCCAATCCAATGTTGTACTTACCATGCAGACTGAAAAAAGTCTTGGGGTCAAAATCCTCAGGGTCCAGACCATCAGCTTCTTCCCACACTTCTTTCAGCTGGTCTTGGCTGCCCTATACATCAGAAAGCATCAAGTGGCATGACAGCATAAACCTCCTTGTTATAATGAAGATGCTGTGGGTTGTTGTGCTGTTTCGTTTTGTCAGACCCATCTCCAGCAGGCCTACTGCGCTCAGCACACATTACCGGGTGGTTGACTTTGGGATGATCAGCGTGCTTTTTCCTCATCTCTTCATAGTGCTGCTCCTCCTTCCTTCTCTCCTCCTCATCCAGCATCTTCAGATGCTCCCTTCGCTCATGTTCCTTCATCATTTCATACCTTTTGAATTCTTCATGACGTTCCTTGTCAAAATTCTCAAGATCATTTGTTGCCTTTGAGTGTTTTTTGTGGAAAGACACATAAAAAAAACCAATAGTAACTCCAAGTACCTTCTCATTTGTAAATTCTATGCAGCACCGTGATCTACTTCATGCACTGTATTGGAAAGTATTGGGACACCCCTCCAAATCATTGAATTCAGGTGTTCCAATCACTTCCTTAGCCACAGGTGTATAAAACCCAGTACCTAGGCATGCAGACTGCTTCTACAAACATTTGTGAAATAATAGGTCATTCTCAGGAGCTCAGTGAATTCAAGCGTGGTACCGTGATTGGATTTATTGTACAGGTGGCATCCTTTCGTGAAATTTTCTCGCTACTAAATATTCCATGGTCAACTGTTAGTGATATTATAACAAAGTGAGTTTATAAGCAAAATTCACTTTTGGTAAATTGGATCATTCAGGTTTTTGACTGGTAATTTAACCACCAAGTTCATGCTCCAACAAGTTACAAGATTGTCAGTGTTCACTGGAAAGCTTTAGAGACAATGAAGGAAATATGGTCTGTTCTAAAGTTAGACCATCCATGGTTTTATTTTCCCGTGAAACAAGGCTTTCCTAGCAACAGGGAACAGAAATTAATCTGAGCATTTTTTCAGTTCGTTATCAGACTATAATAAACAGCATTACAAACATGGAAGTTTGCGATCCTACTGATTTAATGAGACGATCCAAGTCTTCCACTTCAAAAGTGTGTGGATTCATGTGGTTCAGGTGTTCAAACTGTTTAAGCAGGACCTGGTGATCCACAGTCATTTCTGGGACAGATTCAAAGAAGAGACACAGAGAATGCTGGGGATAGTGAGTGTCTCCTTACCTTTTCAGTAAACAGTCACAACCAAATGCTCATATCCTGCACACACTTTACATAAGAAGTAAAATAACTCCACATCTGGAATTGTACATGATCACATTGTCATACAGTATCATACCATTTATCCTCATGCAAACAGAGACGCCAACACAAGTTCTAAGTCCTACAGTTAAGACTAAACATCGAGCAAATTAGTCACTGATGACCAGAGGCAGAGCAGTAGTAGTTAGGGCTGAGCAACATATATCGCTGATTGATGATATCAGACAACTAACCCGGTGTTGATATCTGATAGTGACTGACCAGCGATTACTGCCATTGTCGGGGAAGTAAGCAAAGGCTACACACAGAACAAGATAACAGAAGGATGTATAATTGGCTCCGTTTGGCCTTCTAGTCTACATTTCCGACGCTATAAAAATGTGGAGTTTCACAAACATAGCCTATAGTAGTATTAATGCGTTAACGATTCGTTTACGTTGGGGAGTTTGAGGTTGTCACATCACCAAGTTCTATCTTCTTGTCTGCAGCCAGAATGTCTGCCGTTCAAGTGCAACCTCTTGGTGGGAATGTTGAGCCTCCCAACTCATATGGACGGTCAAGCAAGACAAGTGCATAACATTCTCACTTCCCTCGCAAGACGACAGCCTTGATCACCTAGCTATGAATTCTTTGCGGCTTCTTTCGTCTATGGACGACTCAATATTATTGTTCGTGCCAATATTTTAAAATTAAAATCTAGTACATATATTTTTTTCTTAATATCACCCAGCCAAAATGGAAGCACAATGACAGCAATTCCAAAGGTAAAAGATGAAATGTTCACGGTATCTACTACTGCAAAACATCTACCTAAGAGATGCAGTACTGCTCCAATATTTACCACCCTGCACATCTCCCTACAGCAGATAAAGGACCGAATGGATGTGCCAGGGCTGTGTGCTGCTCTGAGACACATCCTCCACCGTCAGATCACCACTAGGGGTGCAGTCTGCTGGATCATACATACAGTACTGTACCTCCGCCACCTTCCTGGTCCTGCTTGGCTTTGATTAACATCCTTAAGCGGTTCACCTCTTGCCTTTTCAACTCATCCAGCCTTGTTCTCACGTGATGGCTGACAAAGTCCAGCTCTTTGGCGAGTTTTCCTTGCTGTTCGAAATGCAAACTGTCAATTAATTTTACCTTAAAGATAAAGTAAATTAATTAAAACATCAACACTAGCACTGTCACAATACCAAAACAATACCAATAAAAGTATTGAAATTCAATACCATTTTTGATACTCAACACTATATATAATGTAACTAAAAATGATTTCAACTGCAATTATTTGCAGTAAAAACTTCACAACCTTTTGTAAACTCATGTCAGTATATACAAAAACAAACTTACTACAGTAGTAAGCACATTCAGTGATATTCACAAGCAATAAAAAAACAGTTTTAAAAATCAGGTGTTAATACCATTACAATGCACAATAGAACAGATATGCATTACATTTACAAGCTTTCTTGTGTCTTTAAGCACAAACACTTCTAACAACTGCATGACTCAACGTTTGTGTCCAAATGATGAAACCTAATCAACACGACCTCACAAAACGATATGGAGCTGAACACGACCCACAGGTAAAAATAACTGCAGACTGGCATCTTAATGCGGAAATGTCTAACCAACTACAAAAGAAAAGTTTTAACCCGCAGAAAAAATGTTTGCCACTTGTTAACTTCAACTGCAAGAGACTCATACAGACTTATACTTCATCAATTCAGAAATAAGATAACACTCTCTAAAAGTTTTGTATTGCACCGCGTGTTGGCCTATTGAATGTTTAACTAACTTTGTTGCGTTTGCCCCCTTTGGTGTGGTGTCTTCCATACAGGCTCGCATATGTCCTGTGCTTTGTCTTCACTGAGCACAAAGCCACCTTTTCCCAGTGTTTACAAATGTTGCTCTGGCTATACTTTTTATTGATTAAGCACAGTGGTGAAACCTCTGAACTAGTCATGTTAGTAACACCCCATGTGTCAGACCACACTCAGGGCTAGGCGTACGCATTAGTAGTCTAGGAACCCCAGAGGTCAGAGCGAACTGAAAGTGCAGGCTGTAGAAATGATGCCATAAAAAATGAGTACTGATACAATCAATACTTTCGATACTTTTGACAACACTGATCAACACAGATTTTCACCTTCATCATGATAACTAGTTTTACAGAAGCAGTTATGCTGGTTCATTTTGTTGCTGTCTTCAATAGAGACTATAGAACTAAAATATTAAACAATAAGTAAAAATCTTTGTTCCCTTACTCAAACTGTAGGCATTCAATTTACCCTCACCCCCCATACATGACAAGAGAGACTGGGTTTGAAAAGGACTTCATACAAGTATTGAAACAGTACTGATTTATAACCTTAAACAAGCAAAATAGGTAAGTACCAAACCATTCAACATACCTTAATGTCATCCATGTTTGTGTTATGAAGCTTCTCTCTGAAATGCTGATCTTTTTCTAGAAAATCGATGACTTCCCTGAGATAACGGTCATAGTGCAGTCCAGTATCCTGGTGCAAAAATTCACATTTTATACAAATAATGATATACTTTCACTTTTTATATGAATGGGGAAAAAAAACACATAAGCAATCTCCCAAAAACATTCATTACATACATAAGATTTGACCTTATACTTCTATACACAGCGTGTAAGCAGTTGAAATTGAAACCTTACAGCATCTAGATGTGTAACATAAGGTTACCTCCCAATTAAATGCCAGTCATCGTAAATTGTTAGAGAGAAACTGCACATCCACTCCTAACTCTCTGGGGTCTGAGGCCTCTTTTCCACTTTCGGGGTAGTCTGACATGCCTTGACATTTTAATAAGATGCATTACCTGTTAGAATTTCCCCTTAGTAAATGAGGTAAATAATCAGAAATGTGGCATGATTTGTGACTTTCACCTCATAGCTGGTGGCACTGGTAACATTTTCCCATCACTTTATAAATCAGGGTATGTTGCATATAGTGTTTAGGAAACCGCGGTGTCAGCGTGGGTGTTATTTCGCAGGAGGCCCACAAAGCTTACCACATTCTGTGGGGGGCCTTGGAGATTTTCCTGGGGAATCTTCTCCTTGTCCTTTCCCGTATTAAGAGGCACGGCCTTCAAGCCGACCAACAGACTCAGGAGTAAAAAACTGTAGGGGCACCAGCCCCAGGTCCGCCGCATCTGAAAATGCCCACATGATCCGTTTTACATCAGGACCCCACTGCCCGACCCGTCTCCCACTAAAGACGGCGCTGGAGTAAGCATGGGTATAGTTTTGTACAGTTTGAAAATCACCATCGGCATCAATCAATAAAAGGGCAACATAATTGTCATTTTCACTGTTGGATGGCAGGTCTATTATTTGGACTGGGAGTAAACATCTTGCAAAAGCGAGAGACGAGTTCAGTACATCTCGCGCTTTTTCTGCATATGAAATAGCTGGATACATTTAATATTATAGACTGCAAAGTATACAATATTCACTTATTTATCAGTTTCACTGACAGGGTAGATTTTCCTTCTTTCCTTATGACAAGAGTCAGAATATGGCAAAAACAGGCTCCGTTAAATCCGCTATATGAATTCAGTTTTCGGACAAGCGATCTATATAATTATTTTTCAACTACACATCGTATTTTTCCGCTATATGAACAGCAATAAACAGGCGTTTGTTCAGCCGCCTTGTCGAATTACAAATGCAGACTTACTTTTTCAGGCAAGTGGATATAAAAGAAGTTTGTCTTCCAGCTTTTTCTGTCTCAGGATTTCTCTTTCTTCGCAGCAAAGGACCCCCTCCTGAATAGTAGTTATTTTTTTAAACAAGCTACCTCTTAGCAGCACACTACGTGAAGCACCTAAAACAAACCTCCGCCTTTAACTAAATTAATTGGCTAAACTTGTGGGTTTTCCACCGCTGTGAAGTTTAATTTTGGCAGCCTATTGAGCAACTGCTGTGTCAGTTAAATGGCTGGCAAGCCCGGTTCCCTATCAAGTTGCGTTGTAGTTAAGAGTCCCAGCAAGTGCTGCGAAGGCATCGTTAAATCCTACCAAAAATACCTTTATTAACAATAATCTGCATAATTCTGTATCTCGGGGATTATAGTATTTAAAGAGCACAAATTAATTTGGAATTAACGTTCGGTTTCGGTGTGAGATGACTGCAACTAATACGCCGTAAAAGATATTCATTGGAATGAAATCCTCATGAAATCGCTCCCTAGGAGGTATTCACGTTGTATTTTGAGCCCTAACATTTAGTCAGTGGCTGCGTCGCTTATTACTCCTGGGCTGCCTTTTTCTATTGTAAATTATAGTAAATTTGACTTTTTGATTACATTTAAACAAATCTTAAAATGGGTTTTGAGGGTGTTCAAAACGGTTCGTTTTAATGATCTCTAGACCTTATTACTGATGGATAATACAAAAGCTCACACCAACTGAGATCACAAAGTTTATAGTTCAACAGAACGGTAACACTGTACAGTTATGCTTCTCTGTTGTTTTCCTTCAGCCTTGCCTCAGTTATTTACTCTACTACCAAGATCACATTTACTTATAACCGATTTGTACGAGGACTGAACTACAAGGAAAGCCCCGATTAATTGTAATGAAGATTTTGCAACTGAACGGTCACTACAGACGTATCAATCATATACTGCGGATGTGTACCAGGAGTTTTACACCGATGGTCCACTTAATGCAACAAACAGAAAGAAAACGTATGGCTGATAGTACACAAAATTATTCATACATAACATGCTTGTCCATTACTTTTCGTTGTTTATAACCTTCTACCTGACGGCGCTGCCGTCGTGACGCCATTTCCGGCGGAGACGGTAGATCCGGGCAGCCTCGTTCTGGTCTTCCTCTTCCTCTCGAACGCCATCATGGGTCGTATGCACGCTCCCGGGTAAGATACTGTTTTATTTTAAAAATACATTCTTTATTTAATATTTTCAGGGTATCGTAAGCTACATATACGGAGTTCTACATTGTTTTAACAGGTCCATAAGAAAGTGTTTTTCATTCACCATCTATATCCCCCGTTACTTGTTAACGCTGCATGCCCCATGTGGCGTTATCGTCAGGAAAATGGTCCGGTTTGATTTCTGTGTAAGTCACGAATAGGAATTAATGTGTTTGTCTGTTTGTAGTCAGATTCGATGTCGCAGTAACGGACATTTTGTAGTAAGACGGACACTTATAAACGAGCTTTAGCCAATTGAAAAGCTCACGAATCGGTCACGGGCGATGAAGGCCGCGTGGCAGTCCGTGATCCGCGGGGTGGTTGGTGGAGGCGCATATTGCTGACTGTCTGATGTGCTGCAAGTCAGGCATAGCTGTCAGCACCTTTCTTTGCTTCTCATACAAATTTGTTCCTTTGTTTTTAACGAATTTGAGAAATTAAGTGAAAGAATGTAACATTTTTCTAATGTTATTCTTACAGAAAGGGCTTGTCCCAGTCGGCGCTGCCATACCGACGCAGTGTTCCCACTGTGAGTTCCTAACGGGCAACCATAGCATTCACTGTTACCGTGATCATTATCTTGGTACAGCTGTCAAGTTCTTCTCTCTCTTTCTAGTGGCTGAAACTGACATCTGACGATGTGAAAGAACAGATCTTCAAGCTGGCGAAGAAGGGCCTGACTCCCTCTCAGATTGGTAAATTACCCTGATTGTTTTTTTCATGTTATTGAATTACGTGTGGGGGATCTGGTAGGTGAAACGTCTGGGCTAATCACACTGGTTTTTTCAGATGTGAGTTTTTTTTCCATCGATCTATTTGATTTAGATTCAGTGTTGAATATCATTAGACTTTTTTTTAATGTAGTGTCTGGTTGTAAAGAATGCTCTGCTTAAGGAATGATCTGCTTAATCTTTTAGTTCTTAGTAATTTGAAACATGCTCTTCATCCATTAATCGTTGTTAATTGTAATCTTGCTTATTTGTCCAAGCAGACCAAAATGTGCATTAATTTCACTTTTCATTTACCTCCATATTATCCTTCATTTTTAAAAGTTGATTGCACACCATAATATGGGTTCGGTGATTAGTTTGATAATAGTTTGTGGGTGCTGCTGCTGATTCTGGTGCTTTCTTAGTATGTACAAAAACTGTCTAGAGTAATTTTTAAATGCTAAGACTTCGATGTTCGAGTCATTTTCATTGCTTTGAGTGTAAACCTGCATTTTATCCTGGTCTGCTCAGTCTTTAAGGCATTTCATAAATGTTTTTGAGTGACCTGGCTTGAATCAAATGTAGATTATAATGTGTTTAGCTAACTATATTCAGTTTGCACTTCACTTTTTAAATGTTTTTGGAAGGGGTTTTGCTACTTGTAAGATTTACTGAAAAGTTACAGAATGTTAAAGACTGAACTTTGGATGAATTTGAACATTCAGGTCATGCACAATAATGAGGCAGAGGGAAAATTGTTTCTTTGCGACATTCAGAAAACTGACTATTGAAAAAGCATTGTTGCATCCACCAAAATCTACATTAATTTCACTTTTCATGTACTTCCATATTGTCTGTCATTTTTTAAAGGTGGTTGCACATGCATCAGTCATTAGCATGGGGTACATCAAAAATTGCATACTTGCACAGTAGATGGTGAATTTTGCCAGAAGCCTATGACTTGACTGTTAATGCAGTACATTTTGTGTGTATGCATGAGAACAGTATGCATGCATTCAAATACTAAGTGGTCACCATCTTGCATATTACCGGACCCCATGCTTGCCAATGACGTGGTTTGACCCCTTTGAAAGTTAAACCGTCAGCCAAAAATACATATCCGAGTCAACTTATGCAACTGGGCATTGTTTTCTATTTAAATTTGTACAGAGACTCCACATCTTCACAAAAATTTCTGAGTGAGTGACATTCCTTGTCTCTGGGTGTAGCTCCAGTAACCTTGCAGGATTGCCTAACATCCACTGGTTGCACTGGTTTGTAGACTGTAGTATGTCATAGGAGTACCAGTCACCTACAGTCTCATGTACTGAAGATTTGAACACGCTGCTCACTTTCTATACTGCATTTCGTCTGCTACATAGCAACCAAGTATGCAGTTTCGGACACACCTTTGAACTAATCTTGCCACACTATAAACCTCTGATCTTAGTCTCCTATTCAGCAGCTGTTCCTTTAAGGTCTTGATAGAGTGTGGTGTCTCTGATGCGTATGTTCCAGGTGTCATCCTGAGGGACTCCCACGGTGTGGCTCAGGTGCGCTTTGTCACAGGCAACAAAATCCTCAGGATCCTTAAGTCCAAGGGTCTGGCCCCTGACCTTCCTGAGGACCTCTACCACCTGATCAAGAAGGCCGTTGCCGTGAGGAAGCACTTGGAACGCAACAGAAAGGTTTGCTAGCCTGTGTCTAGCGTACTGAAGCCTTTAATTCTGGAGACTCCAGAAACCACAACTTGTCTGAACCCCATTGTTTTGCCTTTGAAATTTCAGTGTATGGTCTCAATTCATTTATTTTTTTTTTTTTTTTTTTTATAGGACAAGGATGCCAAATTTCGCCTGATTCTTGTCGAGAGCAGGATCCACAGACTGGCTCGTTACTACAAGACCAAGAGAGTCCTCCCACCCAACTGGAAGTAGTATGTACAAAGCTTATTTCTTAAATGGTCCGGTTAAGGAGTTTCCTTCTAAAACATCCCTGTAATGTATAGGTCTCTGTTCTCCGAATGATTTTACACATAAAGCGGCCTAAGCACATTTCATTGTCCCATTCTCTACCTGTGAGAGATGAGATATTTCTGATGTGCCAGATCAATGCTGGAGGTCAATTAGCAGAGTGGCTGCAAAGTGCCATTCCTGCCAGTCCCCTTCGTACAGCTCTGTGGCCCTGAATTTATGATTTGGCTGAGAAAGTAGTTAATCCTGTGTTTAACTTTCTGTGTACTTGATTCAAACCATAGGCCTGTAGGCTGTTAAACTGGGACAGTCCCACTGCATATGCTTAACGTTAATTATCTCACTAAATGGTATTTAAGGTGTAGTTATCATCAGTGTTTCTCAACCTTGTCCTTGGGGACCCCAAGACCTTCCATGATTTTGCTCATTCTCTGCCCCATGCCAGACAGTCCACATTTTTGCTACTGGGAGATGGGAGGGAGCAAAAACATGAATTGTCTGGGGGTCCACAAGGACCAGTTTGAGAGACAGTGCTTCAAGTTACCTGTCACTGATTTGATGTCTCTCTTAATCCACAGTGAATCCTCTACGGCTTCTGCTCTGGTGGCATAAATCTCTTTGCTTTTTTGACCAATAAAACTTGTTTGGATGAAAACCTTGCCTTGTCTTATTTTGTACATTGGTTGCTGACTTGGTTGGTTTCTTTAATATAAAAATTGTTTTTTCAAGCATTGAGTATGCAGTTGTCATGCAGCCTACCTGAACTGAAAAGTCTACATGTGTGTTAATGTGAAATGAGCTCTGAGTATGAGAGGTTGTAGCTCCTTTTACTGTGTTATAACTGACCTAATCCTTGTATGCAGTGTAGAGCCTGTGTAGACCAGTAGAGCTTGCATTGGGTACTCTGTACAGTTGGAAACTGTCTTCAAAGTTAGGGTGAGGTGTCAGCCTTGACAGGTGATTAAGGCAGCTTCACAACAGGGGGTGTGACCCTCTGCTGTAGGTTTGTGCCAGAAATCCTTAGGTGAAGCTTAATGGTGGGAGCTTAAGGGCTGTTTGAACACTCAGCAGCCTGTCATACCACAATACTGAGCTGTATTGCCATTATAACTGGTACATGTACTTCCACAGTCATCAAGAGTGCAGCCAGTGCATTCCGATTCAGGTCTCTTGACCACTGGTGGACCATTGGAACCTGTGAAAATACCCCGATTGGTGATATTTACTGAGGATGCTGCCCTGCCCAGTTGTCACAATAAACAGTCAGGCCTTGTGGTATGGACAGATTGAAGATCTGATTTAGAGTATGTGCAGAGTAAGAGTAAGCTTCTGGTGTGTAGTGAGTAGATAAGTGTAATTAGCGGGTGTGGTCTGGGGTGCATGGTGTCCAGGGTCAGTGTACTCCAATGAGTAGGATCTCAATAGAACCCAAGCAATATTAACTATTGAAGCACCTGATTATCTGTTTGAGGTGTTTTAAATTAGGGCTGCACCTAAACTTTGCAGGGTGGTAGATCTCCAGGGGCAGGAATGAGCAGCCCTGATAGAGAGTGAGCTCTGGTTGTGAGGCCTCTGTCTCTATCAGCCTTTAGTTGTACTGGTGTTCAAGTCCAGGTTTTTGCTGTGAGCCCCGCAGCAGCTCTACGCTGACATTGCCAGTTGGGCCTTTGACAGTGGCATCATCTGCAACTATAACCATGTGGTTGCTGCTGAGCTGTCACAAGTGATTTGAGAATACAGTGTATCATTACTGCTTTAAATTGCCAGACCTTTTACCTATAGGAGTACCAGAGGAATACATCCATCTCTCTTGCAACCACTTACCTTGGTCAAGGTCATGGGGGGGGGGCGCTGGAATGGATGCCAATTTTAAGGATCCAGATTAAGCAATTATTTACACCTTTAATGAGAGATTAAGGTCTATAGGTCATACTTGTCTTCAGTAATTGCGGTAAGTGTACTGAGACTATTGGCCACACGGGGGCATTATTTGACAAACTACAATTCATTTTTTTTTTTATTCGTATTCTTAATCAGTGGTCCCTATCCTTGACCCTGTAGAGCCCTAATTTAACGTGCCTAATACTACTTAAGTGGCTGATTATGTGTGTCTCACTATTAGAACCAACTTAGCTTCAACATAGCTGGCTCCAATAGTTATCTGTGTCACGCATGTTAAATTAGGGCTGCAGGGTGGTTGGTCTGCAGGAGTATGGCTGCTGAGCACTGTTGTAAATCATGGTAAATGCTTGTACATGAACTTTCATTTTGATAAGACATAACTTTAGTTATTAAAAAAAAATATGCTGATATGAAATTGGACTTCATTCAACAGGTCTTATTTCCACAACGCTTGCTGTTATCCTCAGAGATTGCACTATATCCATGGAACCAGTAATGTTTTCACATTATTGTGTATTAATCCTTGAGAAGACTGCACTGCTTAAATGCTCAAATTTGCTACATTGGAGGAAACACTACTATGGGATTGCAGGCAAATTGTAATATATGTCTTACAAATCTGCAATGCCTGCATGTGCCTAAAATAAGAGAAGCACGAGAACATTTCTGTTACTCTAATGCTACTTAATATATTTGGTCTGTGTTACAAGAAAGTCCAGCTTGGATTTTTGCTTAGCTTCCACTTGAAAGACATGTTGTTCTCCTGCATTAGACTCTTATTAAGCTGCATGCACTTAACGTGATTTATTGATGCAGGGTTAGTGAGGAGAAAGTTTGTAAGGTCTGCTTGGTAATATCATTGTTATGTAAGTGTCTCCAGTGAACCCAGGCATGCATTATTTAAGCTACATTTAC